TCTCAAGAACCATTCGAGCCACAGAATTCGTTTTGGCATCGTTGGATAGAGAATTGAAAACTCGATTCAGTCGTATCAACGTGAGTGAGGAAATTCGAGTAGTTTTGACCCAGAAAGTGAAATTTAAATATCAGACACAGGTGCAAGATTATGCCAAAATTCCATGTTTTCCATCCCATTTTGGTTCATTTCTCGGAGGCAAAATGAGCAAGAACGCTCATTTGTACATCATTCTAGAGATAAATAAATGGCATGTTTAAAAAGTGAACCATGGATGGGGAAATGTTGGCAGTTTTCTCAAAAAAGGCTTGCATTCAAGCAGTTTTAGATTTGCGTGGTTTTCTTTGAGTTGCAAAATCCACTTGAACATGACGCTGCTTTTTTAGAAGTTTCTCAAGAATCATTCAAGCCAGAGAATTCGTTTTGGCATCGTTGGATAGAGAATTGAATAGGGGGGGTCATGACCCCCATGACCCCCATGACCCCTCCGTGGATCCGCCCTTGTCTACTAATACTATAACTACGAATAACAGTACAACAAACGACCTAATTTCCTGACGTAACGCATTCAAGACTAATAAAAATGTTGGAAAAATCTTTGACTGTTGTGAATCTTGTTTTTCTGTTTTTTCCAGCTTGTGATTGTCATCCGATCGGCGCCTCTGGCAAAACTTGCAACCAGCAAACTGGCCAATGTCCCTGCAAGGATGGCGTGGTTGGTATCACTTGCAATCGCTGCGCTAAAGGATACCAACAGAGTCGCTCTCACATTGCTCCATGTATCAGTAAGTAACTTCTGCAAAATTATCTTTCTTTTTAGCTTAACCAAGTAGTTTTCCAAAATTGTGCTTGTCCTCAGAAATACCGGTCGTCCAGATGATGGCCACCGAAGAGGACGACGACGGCTATCCAGAGGAAGATCCAGATTCGGTTGCCACTGGAGGTAAGAAACTTTAGACTTGAAAGTGAGATTCTTTTTCTATTTGATAATACATGATGTGCCAGTTTGAATAGTGGTTTTCGACAGTGTTAAAATGGCTCTGCTTTGCTTTGATTGCATTAAGCAAAGCTTTGAGTAACGGAACAATTTTGAGGTTTAGCCCTCTATCGCTGTTCAGACGTTTGCCATTGGGGGCAAAATTATATGGAACTGGAAACTGTTTGTTTGTTTGTTGCGTTAAAGGATGTTCCAATTTTACAGCTCTGGCTGAATACAAAGCTACGTTGAGATTAAGCGTACGTAGCTGTTCATATCTCATTCATTCATATGAAACATTTCCTTTATGTGGCTCGGCTCTGTAATTGGCTCTAAATCACCGCAGGGTTTGTTTCCCTTATATTTGCCTAACAAGCTGTTTTGGTTGTTTTTTTTTAAACAAATTCAACGATATTTTGCAGGTAAATTTTAAAAAGAATAATGAATGTCGGATGACTCTGACTCCAAAAGCCATAATTTTTATTGGGCCTTTTTTCAGTTGGCGCCCAAGTGCAATGCCATATCGAACAGAAACGAATAAAACATCGACTTAATCATGAACTTTTCCCGAGGCCTGACTGCATTTATTACACTGCGGGAAACTTTCTTTCGCAGATCCTGCCAACTAATTGGTCATGTATAATGTATATCTTCGGGGTAGAAACTTTTTAATGAGGACGGTTGTGCAGCGGCCCAATATTGTCCATTGAGGAAATTGCCTCTATCTGACATGAAATTCGATTAGGATCGTACGTTTACCGTCTGCTTTCAACTAGCTGAGTGCCAGAATAATCATGCACTGCATTCGACTCAATTAGTATTCTCCTACTATGTCTGTCTAGTTTCGAGCAGATAGCTGTAAATGCTTGTTTCTGAAATTTTCATTGCACCCATCGGAACAGTTAGGGATCGATTTGGGGCAAATTGACCCACTGAAAATGACTTCTCGCATTGTTAAACTAACAGCTGCAATATCGCGTGTTAGTAGCCTGTTGTTTTTCATACCAAACTGCATTAAAAAGGAACTAACACATTAAATAAAAATCTATCCAGACAATTGAGGAAGAAAACGCAAAACCAGTTCAGAAGCAAGAGTGTGAGAAAACCGACTTTCGATCTACAGACGCACTTTTAAAGTTCTCTTGCACTTACTTGCAAATTTTTCGCTCAAAGACGCCAAAGAGCAACAAATAACGAAGCTAATTTTTATTAAAAAATCATAATTTTTCACTGTTATAATCGTTGAAAACTACATAACTAAAACCATGATCATGGTAATACGAAATTCTCCCCTCAAGCCCAGAAATTCGGGATCAAGGTTAGGTCGGGAACCTCCATAAATCGCCCTTATCGTTTTCATGCAGGCAACTTACCCTGCGGAAACGTGACCAACAACAGAAAAATTGATGTTAGTTTAAAGCCCCAAAAAGAACGATGTTTGCTCCAAGTCGGCCTATTCAGATCGAGTAGCGCCGCTGGAATTTATAGAGAAACATTCACGTCATGTATGGGAGCGTTTGAAAATCTGATTGAAATTGAAATGGAAAATTTGCTAGATATTCGGTTTTTCAGTAAATAAAGCCCTTGAACAAACAAAAGGGTTTTACTCAACGTGCAGACGGTTTTATGTCGTCGCTCATAACTGGATTCGAGAGCCACGATTAAATCAGATTGCCCAATTTACTTTATACCTTCTTCCTAGCCAGAGTTATTCATTTCGGGCGCGATGAAATTTATGTAACTGTTACGAGTCGGGTTATTTAAATTCATATTCGAACCCCAAAATGAAGCTGAAAAGAGTCGTTCAAGTCGGATGGGGTGAACGGAATGTGAATGGAAAAATGCAGCATTAAAGTTGGTTGCTTAATCCAATCCAAACTCAGCTGTTTAGTTGAAAGACAAACTCAAACTTCTGACTCCCCAAAACTCGCCATAAATAATGTCAAAGTAACGATTTCCACGCCAATTAAACAACCTACTGCAATCGCTACGCGAACAATGGATGACAGAAAATCGTGCAATGGATGATCAATGGACAGGAAAATCCTCAGCCAGCCCAAGAAAAAACGTTTCCACTACGCCCAAATTGGAAAACTTATTGAAATTGCTCGTCGTAGAGGAGGGATTTTCCTCTTGCGGATCGCTGATTTCTCCATACCCCGGAATCCCATCCAATTTGCCTGCAGGCCGTGGCGAACATCTTTGATATAATTAACTGGGGTATTTGTTTGCAAGGGGGCGAAGTACACGGAAGTGCCGTATTTGTTAGGGTGTAAACAGGTCGGGAAATTATTCAAAATCATTATTTTTGGCTACTTTATTGCGATTAAAGCACTGTAATGTTCTGTTCCAGATCACTGTGGAAAGTGCAAAGGAGCGACCAAACGACTGAACCTCAACAAGTACTGTAAAAGAGACTATGGTAGGTATGCCGGGTTCAGAAACACGCTCAAACCGAACTGAACTGAATTGATAAACATTTCCTAAACGAACCGGATTGTCATTGAATTAAATTCGATGATAAATTAAACTAGGCAAAACAATTGGGGAAAACACATTTTATTTGCCCCATTTAATGTACCGCGCCCATTAAAATGCCAATCATTTTACTACCCCCGGGAAGAAAATCGGGCAAACTTAATTTTCTAAAATGAATTTTGCTTAAATCCATGATCATTGGGCGCTGTTTTCAATGAACAGCCCACGGGATCAACGGGAAGCTTACATGAGGAAATGGTGCGCTTTCCATGTTTGTTCCATTTTACAGGCGGAGTGAAACATTAATCCCGAATTAATTACGTATTTAGATGTAAAGGGGACCAGATTTTGCACAGGTGTTGGTTGCATTATTCTCAAGTATCCAAATTTCCTAGTTCACATACAATTAAATCAAAGTTCGATAGTTGCATTGGGTTTATTTTGGTTTATTTCGAATTTTGCGTTACTTTTTGCGCTAAACAGGACCAGTTAATATTTTACAAAATGCAAAAAGACGGTTCAAGATCAGAAAGCATTCACTAGTCCAAAGCTTCATCTGAGCACTGCCCAGTCGAAGACTCGTAAAAAAACAGAAAAACGTGAAAAACCGCAACTGCAGAAAAATCAACCGCAGAATCTTTTTTATTAAATTATATTAGAATTAGATTATTATAATTATATTAGATTATTGTGTTTTTTGATTTAAAAAGAACTTTAGGTACCAATTTTTCTCGACTTGGGATTATTTTTTAATAGTTTGGGCATTGTTTCAGCGCTTTACTGACAACCTTTTTTTCATGTTTCTTGGAAAATGTCGTTTTTCACCACTTTCCGCTGATAGAAGTTTGCAAACTTTTGCAAATCAGAAAACGTCACATTAGTTAAGATTTTTGTGTATTTGGAATTTTGCTTTTCGGTTCTTAAATTCATGATTTCTATACGATCCTCTAAGAAAACCTGCTCTTGATAGTTTTTTTGTGAACAGGAATCAGTCAATATTTGACAAAATACAGATAGAAAGTTCAGAAGCAAAAAATCAATGATCCAAATTGGTAAAAACACAAAAAAAGTGAAAGACCACAAATACAGAAAAATCACTAGCAAAAGCGCAACAGCTTCTGTTCTTTTAGAACGCGCAAAATAATCACCCATGCCTAAAGTTGCAAATGAATGTGATTAACACCGTCTTACCAAACACCCAAAAGGAACATTCTAGATTCTGTGAAAAATGTAAAATTTCCAGTTTCTGCAAATACACGGTGTCCCAAAATGAATGGGCAACTTACAACCACAAAAATTCAAAAAAAAATTAAAATGTATCAAAAAGCTTAAACGTAAAATAAGATAAATTTTCATAGAGCTCACTGTTTTTTTGCCGGGAACAATAACAAGGCAGTTTATTGAGAAAATTGCAGGCTTTGGAATAAATCGGGTTAATTGGGAGACCTAAAAACTATCTAAAAAATGTAACTGCTTAAAAACCAAACTGTGGCGGTTTTTCAATAAAACAGACTCCAGGTCTGGAAAGTTGCCTGAGGTCAAAAAAACCGTCCAGGAACTGTTCGGGGAAACTTTCGAGCAAACAACTGGATAAACGCTGCTTTGGAACTTATTTATCGTTTTAACATTGGCGTGATCTAGACTGAGTGATAAATAAACGAATTTGTGGAATATTCAAATATTTATTTTCAAAAGTCTGAAACTTTGCGTTTAGTAAGCATGTCGGGATTGGGGCGTAGGCGCCTCGAATAGCTGTCCGGAATGTTTAGGTAAACTCCAATAACAAACATCAAAGGGAATGGTTGGATGATAAAATGTTTCCAGAGTTTTTCTGTTTGCGTGAAAAGTAGTCAAATTATTCGGCAAAAAAAGGGCAAAAAACTTAAAAAAAAAAACGTGCGAACCAACAGTAAAAAGTGTGTTTTTTTCAGCCATCATGGCCAAAGTACTGTCCGAAATTGAAAATAACGACGAGCACACGAAAGGTTGGACGCGCTTCATGATCAACGTGGAATCCATCTACAAGAAGTCGCGAGACTCGCGGATCCGAAAAGGAACCATGCCCATGCTGGTGCCGAACACCGACCTGAACTGCAAATGCCCGAAAATCAAAACTAACCGGTAAGTTTTAAAAAATCGGCCCTTTTCCAAGCAAATTATCCAGCTTTGCAGTGCATTAAACCAGGGCAAAGTGCCGGGAGGCAAATGGGATCAAATTTTTCAAAAGTCACCCACAAATGTGCCTTTGGAAATTAAGTTATTTTTCATCCGGAACGACTGCATCATGTTCAGCTGCGAAAATTACAAATTCCGGCTTATCGGTCTGGCTAAACAGTGTTCAAATGGCCGCAAATTCCTAGTAATTTATTCATTTCACCAGCACGAGTGCGCGCCAAACTCACCGAGATTTACATACGTTAAATCCCCTTATAGGGCTGGATTTGTTGCAAAAAAGCAAAGTTATTACAGGTATTAATTGTGCTCACCAACTGCTCGACTAATCGGCTTCCTGTGAAATAAATTAACAGAGTTTTCGAATTTTTCAAACTCAGTCAACTTCTCTTATTTTTTGTGTGTTTCAAATTGAAGTTGTCACAATTGAGGTTTCTTGGAAGGCAGGCAAAAAGTGTCTGCAAAAACAGTGGAGATTCCTTCTCCCATTTGTTTGTTTGCTGGTGAAGATGTATTTTCGGCAGAACCAATTGTACTCCTCAAAAGTTCAAGTATGCCAATCTCAAACATGCACAAAGTTTAGTTTAGACAATCCAAACCTTTAAAAAGTTAGAAGCAAAATTCTTTTTTTTTCGAAAATTTCAAGAAGATATTAACAGTTGAAGATCGAATTTCAACTTTGTTATTAAGCATTATTTTGAAAAGGTCACACGTTTGATTGGTAGCCTATTGGAATACTTAAGAATTCGAAGAGAAAAATTACGATTTTTTCGTCAAATTACGAACATTTTTTATATTAAAAAAGTCCTCTTCTACAATTTTTTGATGAAAAGTCAAAGCGGCAATGATGTTTTTTGTCATCTACAGGTAGTTACAGGTAGGCAGCTTTGTCAATAATAATTGACACTTGTATTTTATTTGACCAATGAGACATAACCTTTGACAGGTGGTTTTGGATGACAGTTGTCACCTACTTAGGTATATCACTCATTTGCCCCAAAAAGCACCGCAAGGTGACACCGCTATCCTAACCTCGACGCATATTATTGTCTCTTTTATTTTATTTGCTTAATGTTTATCCATGGTCACCGGACTTTTTAATAATTACGAAGCAACCGGTATTTGCGCAATGTCAATTAGGCAGATTACCTTGAAAAACATTGTTGTCATCCTTCTGATCTAGTTTTTTGCAAATATCTGAGTTTTTAATATCATTGATTTTTTTTCTATTTTTTCTGTACTCCCAAGACACCCCCAGACCTCCAGAGGAATGACGCCAATTTTGAATCACCCTGTAGAAGCCATGCAAAGTGGCCAATCTGAACCAAACTAAAAACTTTTGAACTCTTTCTAGGTCCTACCTATTTTTGGGTAGAGAAAAGGACGATTCACCCGGAGGAATAGCGACCGGAAGCTTAGGAGTGACTCAAAGATCGATTGTGATTGAGTGGCGTGACGAATGGGATCAAAGGATGCGCAGGTTCCGTCGCAGAGCCAGAAAATGCAAGTAGAGCGACCGATTAACCTATGAGGAAGAGTTGCGCGCCAACGGTTTCACTGTGATTTAATTTATGTTTAGTTGTTTGCTAATCGAGATTTACTGAATGCCTGATCTGCATCGATGGATATTCGAAATTTTTTCCAATTTCTCACTTAAATAGTTGGGTGCAAGACCAGGTTCAGCTCAGCGCTACTGATGAGGACTAATAGGTCCGAAACCGGTCCTGGAAGCGCCAGTCTGTCCAAGTTATTTGGCAGTGACGTCATTATTTCAAATGCTCCATTGAAATTTAGTCATGTTCCGGATTGGTTTGAGTATGAGTATGTAACAGCTTGGGGCAGCCCTTGATTAACCCTCCTACTAAAAAGTTGCCAGATTTAGAAAATTTCTCGACTGTCCATAGATGCAGTTCAAAGGCGTGTTCCATGTATAGGGGAGCATTGCGTAAAATAGCGATCCAGAGTCCAGTTATTAATAAACTTTGGCTTCAGAACAGCCCATATTTATCGAGAAAAAACTCCTGATTAGAAGCGCTTTAAATGCAGGGCAACTTCAACAAGCATAATTGATAATTGCAATGCTCCTGATTAATTTGCAACAGCATTAAGCAGTATTCGAAAAGAACATGGGCCCCTGTTACTTACTGACTAATTTTCCAACTGTACCAAATGCATTTCGTGTCATGCTGTTAGTTTGAATTTTGTAATTTTTGTATTTTGTACATATTTTTTTACAATTGTTCGCCATCTGTAGTGATTTGTTTTTTTGTATTATTTATTTATTTCCTTTCTAGTGCTATATAGGGAATGAACGGGCGCGAGTGAATGTGCCGAGTATTTGTTCAAGTGGCTTAACATGTTTGTATAATATTACTTGCCAACAACAATTTGGAGGAAAATTACCATTATATCCGGTTGCTCGCAAATATGCCACTGTTGTCGAAGTTTAAACATTTTATTGGCATTGTTTAAATGGTTTGATGAATGATTGTGCCACGATAGCTGATAACTGAAACTGTACAGTATTACAAAACAATTCGCTAACAAAATATTCCATAATATGTTACAATTTGAGGAAATTATATACATTTGTGTAACATTAACTAGTTCCTAGAGGCTATAATTAATCTAAATGTTATTATTATATATTCAGGTTCTGGTTAAAATGGGTAAACTAATGCAGTGTCCCTTCGAGCTGTAGTTTTCATCAATTTCATTTTCATACCGCACTCTCTATTGCTCATCGAGATTATTTACCGTTGACATGAAAAAGTGGGCCAAACCCGAAAGCGACATGTAACATATCCACGAAAGAAGGGAATTTTTTGTAAATTGTCCAGTTTTAACCATTTTAGTCAGACGATAAAGTAACCGAGTAGAAATTAGTGTTTGATGTTAACATATCAAACTATTTAACGTGTTATAGCAATATCATGCTCTCTTGTGTCTGCAAATCAGAAGACTAAATTAGTATTAGGTTCAATTACCCTCCAGTGGAATTTCGAATAAGAACCGATTTGCCTCCAAAACCATAAAAGCTATAGACAAAATAAATCTCCCCTGGATCTTGCATGACGACGGTGGCTAGAGTGTACTATTTAAACACCTTTCATGTTATTGTAGAATTAAGCAAAGAAAATTAGTCACAATTATTATTAATGATTATATTATATTATCGACTAATTGTAAATTTTTTGTGTACCTAATGACTTATTGTGTAATAAAATTAAATATGTACAATTGTCGTATATCATTCAAATTTATTGGATTTGAAGCAGTCATAAATAACGGTTTAATAGTACGTTAAAAACAAACGTTTTATAGAGGATTCACTTATGTGGGAAAACTCATCGAATTCCAATTTGCTGTCCCAAAAACCCGCAACTGGACGCTTAAATGTTTGTCCAGTTCTACCTAAGGTGGGGTCAATTCTTTATCTAAATGCCCTGCAGAATGACTGCAAGAACTAATAAACTTACATACGAGCCTGAAAAAAACTTCAAGTTGAACCACCCAATGAACACTTGAAATTTTGTCCTGATCTAACCACGGCAGGGCAGGGTTTGCAGAAGGGTCATAAAGGGTCTGCAGAAGGATTTTCCAAGAATTAACGAACTTACAGTCGAATCTGAGCAGAAATTTCAAGATCGATCATTTTCAAAAATTCCTCATGCCCGAACAGGAGCGACTGGACACTTGAAATTTTGTCCAGATTTAAACACGGATGGGTAGTGCAGGTTTCCCAAATTTCGATCCAATTGGTCTGTAGAATGATTTTGCAGGAATTAACAAATTTACAGACGAGCGTGAGAAGAACTTTTACGTTGATTCATTTGCAAAAATTTCTCCCGGCTATACTAGAGCAAGTTGATACTTGAATCTTACTGCGGCAAAACGTTGAAAGTGTCCCAAATTTCGATATAAACTACCTGCAGGATAATTTTTAAGCACAACTTTCAAGCTGCGCCATTTTCAAAAATTCCTCACGTGCAAACTGGAGCGACTGGACACTTGAAATTTCATCCAGACTTAACCACGGTAGGGCGCTGCAAATGTCCCAAATGTTGATCAAAACAGACCGCAGAATGATTTTGCAGGAATCAACAAACTTTCAGTCGTGTTTGACAAGAATTTTCAAGTTGAGCCAATTTTAAAAATTCGTCACGTCTATATTGGAGCGAGTGGACAGTTGAAATTTTGTCCAGATTGAAGCACGGAAGGGCGCTACAAGTGTACCAAATTTTGATCAAAACAAACCGCAGAATGATTTTGCAGGAATCAATAAACTTTCAATCGTGCTTGACAAGAAATTTCAAGTTCAGCCATTTAAAAAAATTCCTCACGTTCATATTGGAGCGAGTGGACACTTGAAATTTTGTCCAGATTTAAACCCGATAGGGCGCTGCAAGTGTCCCAAATTTAAATCAAAACTGACGCCAGAATGATTTTGCAGGGATTAACAAATTTTCAGTCGAGCTTCGCAGAAATTTTACGATGATCCTTTTTCAAAAATTTCTCACTACCAAACTAGAACAAGTTGATACTTGAATCTTACCACAGCAGGACGCGGAAAGTCTCCTAAATTTGGATATAAACTACCTGCAGGAGAATTTTGGGCCTGAGCACAACTTTCAAGTTGAACCATTTTCAAAAATTCCTCACGTTCAAACTGGAGCGACTGGACACTTGAAATTTAATCCAGGCTTAACCACGGTAGGGCGCTACAAGTCTCCCAGATTTTCATCAAAACAGACCGCCGAATTATATTGCAGGAATCAATAAACTTTTAGTCGTGCTTGGCAAGAAATGCTTGGCAAGAAAAATGCTATCAGAAAGTAAACTGATTTTTAAAAAATGTTCAAACTTGCAGCTGTGATTGGCCAAAGCTTGCAAGTCATCGCACCTTCAAAAATTCATCATTCCCAGCGCAGAATCGTCATAATATTACTTTTTAGTAAATTAATAGATATCAGACGATTTACTGTTCAAACCGAATAATTTTCAAGCAAAGCGCAGTTGAGGCTGATTTATTAGGAACTCACTACCTGCGAAACCGCGACCAGTCTGGATGTGGAAAAATCATCTATTTGTATCCTGCCCTAAAGCCTTTTATCGACTATTAAATACAAAAAATATGTATATAACTGATACAAAATTTCAGGTAAAGAAAAATTAATCTGTAAAGCTAAACACGCACTTATGAAGAAAAAAATGCGAGGCTGCAATTCAATATTTGCGTAAGGGTAAGCGCAAAAAGAGTTTGTTCAGAACATCCTAAAACGAGTTTCAGGTTTTCAAACTACCTAAAAAATCAATGTTTAACAAACTTTATATGTCCATCTGTCTATCCGTAAAAAGACAAGGCTTGTGGRTGAACGCTAACCCACAGGAAAGTAAGGAAAATGTACGCCAATCAGGTAGTAAAAATTAAAGACCATGTACTTAAAAAAACAACAATTTATTATTTAGCTCTGTTAAAAATAATATAAATAAAACATTTCAATTAAACTCTCTTGTATTGGCGGACAGCCTTGGTTCCCTTGGAGCTGGTGGTTGTCTATAGAAAAAACTCGCATCAAAAAACTACACAAAACAATCAAAGGAAAATTGCTTACAGATGTGAGGCCACTGTCAGTGATTTTGATCACTTTTTCCTCAGTCAGGCTTCCATCAGCGTTCAGTTTGGTTTTAAAGGTGATGGTGTCTCCACTGATGGTGGCAACGGTCTGAGAAAACACTCGAAAGTGATACAAACGATCTAACGAAGTAATATAAGTGTTCCTACCCAAATGGTGTGCTTATTGCGAATTGAGTACTCATACTCTTTGCCCACAGGGAAAGCGACCTCTTGTCCTGAATAAGACATTACGATGCTGCTGTCCGATACGGACTTGATGGTGATCGGCTCCTTCAATTGGGACTGTTTTTCGGCCTCAGCATCGGGAACACCTTAAAAATAGCCCTTGAATACCCTTTCTTGAAAGTTGTGTATTTCATGTATATTTTTCTTTGCCGTTTAATTATTTTTTGATAATGCAAAAGCTTACCCAATGACTTCAAGAATTCCAGGTAATTCTCCTGGGAGACCAATTCGTAGGTTCCTTCTAGCTTAACCATTTTGGATGTAGATTTTTGGTGATAATTCAGAGATTGTTAGCACTTGAAACGCAAATGTGATCTGAATGACATCGAGTGCAAGCGGCTCTGTTTTATACACCCACAAGCCCCCCGCCATTGGAGCGGATTGTTATCAAAATTAGTAATAACTGGTGATTTTATCAGTTTATTTGCATTACTGTTAAAGATCAACAGGGTATTTAGGATGCCCAACAGGGGATCAAAGTGCAATAAGTGAAATGACTGAAACCTCCCGGGATTAACACGAAGCATTCCACTCAAAAATTACAATTTCATCTTATGAGTTTTGGCAATTTTGTAATGTTTCCATCAAAAATTCGGGCTGTAAATTTCAGCTTAACCTGCCATGGATACAGCATTTTTCCTTAAGTACCTATTTTGTTAGTATGAGTCAACAAATTGGAATACCGGCGATATTTAATTGAAAATTTGTTGATTTCATGACTTATCTGATTCATGTAATACGACAAGTAAATATACTGCATAACCCTTAATCTTTCGCACTTTAAATGACTATACCTTTGAGATCAACCGTTTATGAATTATGTTTCAATGACTTTGCATTACTGCCGCTGCTTTTGCTGCTTAATTCTTGTTCCTAGAAACCGTTACCGAATTACATATGTTTCTACCATCGCACAACGTAAAAACTGCTTATTCCTTGGCAAAAAAACTAGTTTAATGTTCATATTTTCAAAGAAATGCTAATGAAACGATTCAACGACAGTCCAATATGAATCACGAAGTAAAGCGGCAAACAATCGCACAAGAAGGAAACAGATTTTCTTTGAAAAACAGATGATTTCACAGTTGTTTTCATGCTACAGGATTTCTTGAAAGCATTTCTTCGTTCTTTTAGCAAGATATTTCAACCTATTGAATAAGTAAATTCATAAAAAATGTTATGTTTTTCGCAAATCCATATTTGCTGCTTCATCGAAAAAAAGTGATAAATAAAGTGTCAAAAAACTCATGATTTGAAACAATTGAGTGGCAAAGTCTTTAATAATCACTTATTCAGTCCATTAGCTTTATGATGATTTCTTCTGTTGCCTTTACGTTAAACGTTTTCTTAAAAAAACTTTTCAACGTTTTAAAAAGATGTTGTTTGCAGTTTATGCAAATTTTTGTTTGGAATGAGAATTTGAGAACCGACGATATGAGCCGAAACAAAAAATTGCTTCAATAAATGTTTTGCCCAAATTGGCGCAGAAAAATTCGTATAAAAATACAAAATAGAACGGGCCATTCCAGTTGCTCATTGGAAAACGCAGTTTTTCTTTGTTTAAATCGTAAAAGCAGGATACAATTCGAACAGTTTAACTGGCCTTTTCATTCCCTAAAAAGTCCCATTTCCAAAAGGAAAGACGCATATATTTAAGCCACTTTGGACCGCACTGTAGAAATGCGTCAATTTCCAAAGTACTCAGTGGCAAACTTAAAATTTTCAATATTTATAATTACTCTTTCTTAGCGAATTCCATGCAAACTGACTGACTGAATTTTTGCAAAATTTACAAAAAAGGCCACTTGTCCATTAATTAAACCAAAATTTCCCCATGGAAACAATCCCTCATTTGATTTTCTCTAATTGAGATAATCCAGGACACTAATAATAAAGAAAACAGAAACAATCTTTGATTTTCACTCAATAAAATGAAGTGATTTGTTTGTTGCGTGCGACTATCAGTGGCTTTAAAGTTCAGCAAAATCTATTATTCAAATATTAATTCTAAAGCTCAAAAACATATTTGTTTTCGCCTCATAAACCTGCTCCTATATTTGCACTTTTTATCTCGCTCGCGAGACAAGCCTATGCTATTAAGTAACAAATGCTGATAATTTAATCAATCAATTTAGATTAACTGCTATCAATACTTCGATGCTTTACGCAAACATTTGTGGTACCTGGAAACCTTCCCAATATCAGCCAGGTAACACCCCCTGGTTCCTTTACTATTCAAAATTTTTGCTTTTATAACCGAATTTGCATTAGTGAAAAACCATCGATTTTCTTATTACCAACGTTTCGCCATTTTTATTGCCAACTTTATTTTGGCATCCTCAGGTCTCAAAATAACTCGAAAATAAATATGGCAAAACGTTGGCAATTTTTAAAAAATCGCTGTTTAATTTTACAATTATTCAAATTCCGATTTTAAAGCAAACCTATAACTTAGGAGTTATTTATGACTTTTTTTAAGTTTTTGCAAAAATTATATTAATTTTTTAAAACAGCGAGCGAAGAATTTTCAGAAGTTTTTGAAAAAATCCATATGCTGTACTAACTCTTTTCTCAGTAATTTTTTTTAACACTAGAATTAGTAACTCTAACAGGTATCATCACAAAAGACTCAAGCGACGCTGCCAACTTTTCAATCACTTTTCAAGTTGTCACTGCTGCGTGTGACACTAACCAATTCCCTAACCCAAATCCACAACAACATTTGCAACCTACAGAATCTCCTTATTAGGATATTTTTATAATTGCCCTTATTCCTATTTGAAGCTAACTGATTTCTGAAAATGGCCGGAAACAGCGGGAAGGGCACCTTTCAACCGGTAGGTTGGGAATTAGAATACTCATGTTTTGATTGATGGTCTAAACCTTCACTTTAGGACTCAGATATTCACATTTCGTACGAGGACCAGCAGAAAATCAACGTATTTGCAAGACTGAACGCTAAATTGGTGGACATCAGTGATACCATTAAAGTTAAAGAGGTGAGAGCTACATTTGAAACTAATCAAAGAGCTAATTTGAGTTTACTCCTTAATTGCTCAAGAAAATGTAAAGTTAGTAAGTTTATGAAAATTAATTACTGTTTTCTTCCTCAGAACGACTTGAAGAGTCTGGAAGATGCCTGTGATGAAATCGCCCTTTTTGACGACGATGAGCAGATCCCTTATTTAATTGGGGAATTTTTTATTTATCAAAACTTGGACACAACACAGGTCAGTCACTAGAAACATTTTGTGCAATTTTGAGCAGTACCAAGAAAGTGTTTTTCATTTAAATTTGTAGTGACTTACTGTATTTTTGATCGTGCTAAAATGCCTATTATTTGTGCAGAAATGCCTCGAAGAAGCTAAAGAACTGATCATTAAAGAAATGAAGGAAATCAGCAGCAAGGTGGATGAGATCAAAGACCAAATGACCGAGTTAAAGGGACACTTGTACGGAAAATTCGGTAGTCACATCAACCTGGAAGCTGATGAATAAACTAGCACGTTTTAACGGTTTGAAATAAGCTTGTTACAATTTTCTGAACAATTAAAATTGCCGAAGAAAATGCTTTTTAAAATTTCCTTGTCGTGAAAAACGCACAAAACATACCGCACTTGACCAAACCATTTATTTGACTATTAAAGCCGCAAAAACAACTTATTATCTCGACGAACATGTTTATTTCCATTTAATCGCTGGCCTTGATAGACAGCTGCCCTAGTCCAACCAAGCTTCAAACAGTCGAAAGTTGACGGTACTTCCATTTAGGTTCCCTGTTTGTGAGCGTTCGAATGCGACGTCGAACACCCACAGAACTTCCCCTTTGCCATCCTTGTGCGGCAGCACCTGAAATTTATGAAAACTCTCACTCACTCCTCAACTCTTCCCAGTCTTTTGCTACTGACTTTGAGTCCAGAAGCGAATAGAATCGGCAATGAAGGGGGCGTAATAATTTCGAAATTGCTTTCTATGTAAGCAGTGCTGGGGTTCCATTTGACCAGTTGATTCTCGGTTAAAATCGAGAAGTAAATGTTGCCCTTTCGGTCTGCTGCCTCTGTAGGTGACTGTCGCTTCCTTCTGCCATGGTACGTCTAAAACATGGCGCAAGTGAAAACTCCTCTGCGAGTTCTTGTAAGGCTTACATAGAACAACTGCGGAGAACAATAAGGAAAATCAAAGTTTCTGGGGTTTTTCAGGTGTTTCACATACACCCAGGACTCTTTCACGTTGGACATTGCATGATAGTGCAGTTTTCTTTTACTAGGCCCGTCGCTCTTCGGGCTAAGGGCTGCGGTGAAAATTCCGTCGTTAAACCGAAAAGTTTGGCCTGCAAACAAACGTCGATTTTTTTCGCCTCAACTTGGCATTATGTATTTCCTACCTTCGATAGTGTATGTGTTGTACTGCGGGTCTGCAGTGAAACTTTCATCAAGAACTACCCAAGAATCGTTCAGTTTTAGGCTGTAAACTAGCAAAGAGGGTGTATCCGTGTCGGGCACATAAATCCAAGTATTTTCGCAGTTATTGGCAAAGTCTTCCACTTCAGCCATGGGCGCGATGTACAGCGATAAATTCCTGACCTGCACATAAGGCACTTCGTACTTGTGAATTAGTTGGTTCTAAAAACGTCAAGCTTTACTCAATGTTTCCCTATTTGAAAGGGGATTTTTACCGTTCTCAAGTCAAAGGCCAATATTTGAGGAAGACACGTTGCGTTTCCTGCAACAAACCCGGTATCTGCTACCCATAATCTGTTGCACTCATCCGCCTAGAAGTTCTTCTTGTACTGATAGTGAGTGTTCCCTCACTAACTACTCACCCAAACTCTGTAAACGGACACTATTCGATGATAGCGACACTCTTCGGGATTTATTTGCCAAGACCATGAAGGATACGGATCAATTATTGGGTTTCCATCTCGGGTTTCATGAGTAACCACTCCGAGTGTTGCCGGGTATCCGGTGGGAGTAAGTCGGGGAGTTGCGATAAAAACCCTCTCGAGGCCACTATAGGCTAAATTTCCTACTTTGGGAGCTTTAGTCGAAATATTTTCTGGATCTTACCATCGTACGTATATTGGGCGTCGGTTGGCTGCAGTCTTCCAGCATTGAAACTTCCATTAGCAATAGCAGCCGATCGCTCCTGCTCGTCTCGGAATTTGTATTCGATTTGCTTCCACTGGTATTTTATCTTAAAGTCGTAGTTGCTCCGACTTGGACTGGCAGAGGATTTTTTTAGGACCGAAATCATCGAAAGGTAAATCAAACCTGAAAGTTCTTTTGCTACTTTACTGTGCATTTTTCGTTGACAATGTGAAGCTGTTTAGTCATTTGATGGTAGGTTTGGTCCTTCGTTCCAGTTGGTCACAATTAAAGAATTGTCTTTTTGCTTCAATTTTTCAGAAGAGCGCTTATTAATCGATAAAGAACAGTCAAATGGTGCTATTAAGCAGAGCATTTAGATACTTTTGCTACCTGGGGATCCTTCCAGTTTATCAGAAAATATTGCAAAACTTCCTTAAAAGCTTCTAAAGACACTTGGTTTTCGTCTTCAGTAACTTGCATATTGCTTTGATGTGCTTATTACTTAGGTACTTACCTTTAAAAAAGGTTTTAAATGTAGAGCTCATTTTTAGCTTCTTTCTACCACAATAGCACAAACTAGAGTGAACCGCACTAGAATTACTATTCTTAAAATAAACTATTATTTGTTTAGTGTTAGCAACTAATGCACTTATTATAATTTGAGCATTTACATGCTTTTTAGTAAAACGTTTTTGGCGCGGAAAGATGATAAGACCATCTAATGAGTTAAATTGAAAAAGCATTGAAAAATTCCCCTATCCTTGAACATTACCATAAAAATCGCATTCCCATACACATGTAAGGCATAGTAGGCCGTTGCTCGTCATTTCACTGTGACATTTTGGCGTGATAATCACGTCGATCTGCGGTGACGAAATTGGCCACTTTGACGTACATTTTCACGTCTTTTTCACGTGAGTATGGCGTGTTTGTGAGTGGAGCGAAAAACTTGCTTGCAAACGAAAAGTTTATTAAGAAAGAAAACCATTGCGAGTCTCTGTAGGGGTAAATATTAGCGTTTAAAATATTACTATCGCGCTTCAAAAAATTAGTAATTCTTTTGAAAAATGCAGCTCTTCAAACCATCTTGATTAAAAAATTTTAATTCC